GGGTCGTTGCTTCCCAGCTTGTCGTAGTCATACACAGTAATGAGGAGCTGGACTTTCTGCATTAGGATAGAGTGGGTTTGGACTTTAGAACATGCATTTATTTCATTATGGACATGAATAAAATGCCCCTTCAAATTTGTACATGTACAATAATAGACACAATATAGGCTATATCAGATGTAAGAATGATCGCACATCACCTGAATCTGTTCAAATGGGACCTCAAAGCTGAAGCTCTCATTAAAGTATGGGTTCAGTGTGTTCTTTTTAACAGTAGTTTTCTTCTTCTTCAGACGCTTTCCGTTATGCTGTAACACAATCTTCACATACGGATCTGACACAGGAAGTAGTTGAGATGAAAAATCAGAAGTGGAAAAAAAATTACAAGAAAACATACAGCAAACTGTAATTGAATTTATTATTCAGTCAGTTTGAACACACCTGCTCATTCTCAATTATTAGCATTTTCCACATTTAAAAAAAAAGGCATCACAATTATGGCATAGTGCAAATGTAATTTAAATATTTAAATTCACTTTTGAGTTGTACCTGATAAACCACCAACATCCATTTTTTTTAGATTTTTGGCCTCCATTATGTTGACGGTGAGTTTGCCAGCAGTGGGCACATAACGCAGAGAAATACAAATGTCTCCAAGTTTCTCCTGTTGAAGAGAAAGAAAGACCAATCACAGGAACAAATATCAAATATCCAGGAATTAATGATGGCATACCTGAGAAATTAAGTCAGACGTGCTAATACAAATATTGAGAGAAAATAAAATGTACCTCCTCCTTTTCTCCACTTTCGAGATCCCTCCATTCATGCAGCGGTTGTCCGAGATCCACACAGCTCATGGGAATCGTTATCTGGCCGATCACATCATGTTTACCAAACCGATCAAAATCAAACACCTGAAGCACCAGAGTTTTACCACCCAATTCAGCATAGGGAATCTATAATGCATGATAAGAGGCAGGAACAGAGAAAACGTGAGAGAAACAAATAAGCAAAAATTAGTGTAAAGCAGCTTTCCAGTGTTAATACATGGTAATAAAACATTGAGATGTCTTTTCTAAACTGCAGACAAGCCCAAAAGAGAACAAATGCTTCCTGTTACAGGTCATTAAAGGAATAACTCATTCAAAAATATACTGGTATTTTGCCATTATTTAGTCTATATTGTTTCAAAATTGCATAATGTTTATGCAGCTCTTTTCCAGACAAAGGCAGTTTATGCTGAGCGTGTGACAGACATTTAGACTTTTTTTAATTACATTTTTCTTTCTTTCTTGTAAAGAACAGTTGCATAGTTTGAAACAACATGATAAATAATTTAGAATGATTATAATAAGTATGAAAATATTAGTTCATTTTTAAGTGAACTATTCCTTCAAAAACATATATAACCTCAGTGATACCTTGATAGCTGCCAATCAAAAAATGAATGACAAAACCATTGTAGGGAAGCAGGGATTTCTGGGAACTTAGGATGCCACACAAGGAGACAAAACCCTGACACAAAACCTGAGAGAGAGAGAGAGATGGACAAACAAACTACAGGTGGAACTAAACAGACGCCAGAACACTCAAAAGACAAAACTACAGGCAATAAAATGTTACGAATTATACTGGACGACCACTTTAACGGCAACACATACATGACTCATCATGTACGTACTGTAAGTTAGAACCTGGCTTCGTACTTCATAAACAAACAAAACACCGAACAAAAAAAACCTTGAAGATGAAGGTCTCATTAAACACAGGGCACAGATTTTTGCGCTGGACTTTGGTTTCAAACTTCTTCTTCTTGTCTGGAAGCAAGTAAACTTTCACATATGGGTCGGATGTACCGCCTATATCCATAGCGGGAAGATCTTGAGCCTGAAGAACTCCAACTATCAGCTGTTGACAGAAAATTAGACATGTTCCATGTTTCTTGTTACAATGACATCATTACATCTCTACCTATTACAGTACTTTTAATGCATTAGGCACCTGAGCATCAGTGAAGGTGTAATCCAAAGAGAATTCCAGTTTTCCAAGGTTTTCTTGCTCTTCTTTTTGCACGTCTCCCTCCTTTTTTTCTCCTTCTTCCTGCAAAGATGAATAGTTATATTATATGCAGTATGTTCATGGAATATGCAAATTCATTGTAAATAACAAAGGACGTTGTGCTGTGTTTTAACTTTATTCTAGCTTTTCTATCACATACATTTATTTATTTATTGTCACACTTTACAATAAGGTTCCATTTGTTAGCATTAGTTACTACATTAGTTAACATGAACTAACTGTAAAAATACTTTGCATTTATTAAGCCTAGTTAATAACATGAACACATATTAATAATTACAGTAACAAATGTCTTACTCTTTGTTAGTTAACTAATATTAACTAATGGGCTAATGGGTGTTTTCTTTTTTATAGCAAACCATGATTGAAAAAAAAAAA